GACATTTAAATATGGACTTGAGCTTAATTGACATTTAATAAACATCCGAGGACAAATGATATAGTCAATTAAGGTGCCTACGTATCCCTAATATAGGGAATCAAAGTCCACATAGTTCTTTTTGTGGTTAACTATTATGAATTTCTTAATAACTTATGACGTGGCATAATCGGTGTCACTGATGTCAAATTTAACTTTGATACAAGATGATGCCTTTGTCCAAAAATAGTTAGTTTATCAGTATGTTGAGGTTCACCAGCCTCATAATACAATCCGACTGCAATACACAACCTCGAGTAATACCGTCGTTTTTATTGCTAGTGTCCTACAACACGTTAATTAATGGAACTTGTCCTTGTTATCATCTTTGTCGTACAATATATTTATACCGTCATCACACAACAATTGTGTAGTGATAGTATAAACATTTTGTGCAACAAAGATGATGACAAGGACACCTTCCATTAAATAACGTGTTTTTATGACACTACAAAAAAAAATGTCGATATTACTCGAGACTGTGTATTGGAGTCGAATTGCATTATGAAGCTGATGAACCCCAGCATACTGAGAAATTAACTTATGTAAGGTTTTCAGAGTTCGATGAAAGTTTTCCTAAGTAATTGACATTTAAATATGGACTTGAGCTTAATTGACATTTAATAAACATCCGAGGACATATGATATAGTCAATTAAGGTGCCTACGTATCCCTAATATAGGGAATCAAAGTCCACGTAGTTCTTTTTGTGGTTAACGGACATTGACTCAGAACTCTGATGATGACCAAGTCCCTGACAGAGTTCTCTTGTTTGTGTCATAACAAGTTTATAAGAGAATTCAAAACAGAATACATAATGAAAACCTTATGAGGTGGCATCATTGGTGTCATTTATGTCAAACTTTTGATTTAATGTCGAACTCCAATAATGTGTTTGAGCAACACCCAGTAACAATTACCCGGAGAGACAAATCGTTATTCCCGTTGCACGTGAAAAAGAATTTGAATTTCTGGATAATCGCTACTGATTGTTG